CCAAAGCATCATCCGGGGTGAATCCGGGGTAACGCGCTGGATTGTATTTTATTTATTTATTTATTTGATTTGCCAATTGTTTACAAGATAATAAGTATAAGTGTATACATAGTTGTGAATACATGAAATGGGTACATATAAGAAAAATAAAAGAAGAATAAGAGAAACAATAGGACAGGGACGGTAGGCACGTTGGTGCGCTTATGCACGCCCCCTACAGACCTCTTAGGAAAGGGGTGAGGTCAATGGTAGACAGTCTAAGGTTAAAGTTTTTGGGGTTTGGGGAAAAAACTACAGAGTCGGGTAGTATTCCAGACATTGACCACTCTATTGCTGAAGTCGTATTTCCTGCAATCAAGTTTGGTGCGGTTAACTTTGAGTTTGTATCTATTGTGTGCTCTTGTGTTGTTATGGTTGAAGCTGAAGTATTCATTGACAGGTAGGACATTGCAATGTATGATTTTATATACCATGCTTAAATCAGTCCGAAGACGGCGTAATTCAAGGTTTTCTAGTTCTAGAATTTCAAGTCTGGTGGCATAAGGTATTCTACAACGAGTAGAGGAGTGGAGAACTCTTCTTGTGAAATATTTCTGGACTTTCTCAATTGTGCTAATATCAGATACGTAATGTGGGTTCCAGACTGATGAACTGTATTCGAGTATTGGTCTAGCAAATGTTTTGTATGCTCTGGTTAGTAGTGTGATATTACCAGAGAAAAAGCTACGTAGGATTAGGTTAACAACTCTTAATGCCTTTTTGGCTATGTAGTTGCAGTGGGCTCTAGCACTTAGATCATTAGAGGTGAGTATTCCAAGGTCCTTTACAGAGCTTGGGTCATCAACGAGATCTTGACTATTCAGCTTGTATTTTATTTTCTGATTTTTTTTGCCAATATGTAAGACAGAGCATTTATTTGTTGAGATTTGAAGTTGCCATTTGTTTGACCATTCTGATACATAGTCAAGATCTTTTTGTAGGGTAGCAGTATTGTCTGTGGTATTGAACAGCTTTACATCATCAGCGAAAAGAACTCAATTGCTCTTAATATGATCACAGAGGTCATTTATGTAGAGTATGAAGAGAGTTGGTCCTAGAACACTGCCTTGGGGGACACCACTATTGACAGGTACAGAATTTGATAGGACGCTCCCAATTTTGACCATTTGTTGTCTGTTTGCCAGGAATGCTACTATCCAGTTATGCAGTTGTCCAGAGATACCATAGGATTTTATTTTTAGGAGTAGTTTGTCGTGTACCACTGAATCAAAGGCTTTACAGAAGTCTATGTAGATTGCGTCTATTGCTTTGCCCTGGTCGAGTTGTGTCGTCCATATGTTTTTGCAGTGTAAGAGTTGCAGATTACAGGATAGTTTTTTTCTGAAACCAAATTGTTTATTGGAGAGTAGGTTGTTTGTCTCTAAGTGGAGGATGATGGATTGGTTAATAATTGATTCCATGACTTTACAGGTGACGCAGCATAAGGAGATTGGTCTGTAATTTTCAACTAGGCTTGGGTCTCCCTTTTTGAAGATGGGGATGACTGTGGCTTGTGACCATAGGTTAGGCAAGGAGCTGGTCCTGAAAGATTTTTCAAAGATTATGCTTAGAGGTTTGGCTATGGCAGTGGATAGCTTTTTTAAGAAGTAGGCACATATTCCATCCGGTCCAATAGATAGAGATGGTTTTAGATTGCGTAGTGCTTTTTCGACATTGTCTTCTGTAAAATCGATATGTATTAGATCATTGTGGTTATCTGTGGTACGTCTAGGAAATACTGGGCATGATCCATTGCTGTTTACAAATACTGAGCCGAAGAATGTGTTAAAGATGTTGGCTTTAATGGTGTCGTCGTTGCAGTCTTTACCATCAGGTCCTATCAGGAGTGGGATGGACCTTGAGTCTTTTAGTTTGTTGTTTACAAAATTGTAAAAAGCACGGGTGGAATTGGTGCTTAGAAGGTTTTCCTCTTGTTTAATGTGATAATTGGTGCATTCGGTCTTTATCTGGTGGCATAAATTTTTGTATCGGCTTTTGAAATTGGCAACGTGACCAGATTTGTTTTTCCGCCAGAGTGATCTCTTTTTGGATTGAAGTTTCCTTATTGTTATGGGTAATCTGCTTTTTTGTTTTGTTTGGGAGTTGTTGTTGGTACATATAGTTTGATGACTCTTTTGACTTCAAGTAAAAATATGTTGTAATGGTCTTCAACAGTATTGCATCCAGTGAATAGAGATGGCCAATCAAGGGATGAGAGATCGTTGTCTATAAGATCATAGTTGCCTTTTTTGAAGTTACAATTGGGGATTACATCATTGTGGTGATTTTTGTGTGGGCGTATGTTGAGACAAAAGTCAATCATATTGTGGTCACTGCTGGAAAAGGGTTCTTTAGTTTGTATTCCATAGATTAAATTCAAACTATTGCAGAAGATGAGATCGAGGCAGTTGTTTAGTCTAGTGTTGTTGGTTACTAGTTGTTCCAGTCCCAGATTTGTAATAGCATTGTAGAAGGTTGTGTGTATGATTTCAGTTGTACAATCATTTAGGGTCCAGTCAATATGAGGTAGATTGAAATCACCAAGAAAGATAAAAGGGTATGGGCAGGATGCAGCCCATGTTAGTAATGTATTTAGCTTGTTTACATGTTCGATGTCATAATCAGGTGCTCTGTAACATAGTAAGAATCGAATTGTGATATTTAAGGATAGTTCACAGATGATGGTCTCAGGAAGAGCAAGCTCCTGGGTAACTTGGATATTTTTTAGATGTAAGGACTTTTTATAGAAGATAGCAACACCACCTCCTCTACGAATTTCTCGATCTGATCGGTAAACATGATAGTCTCTTACTGTGGTAATGGAGTCAGGGAGAGATGCATTGAGCCATGTTTCACAGACAAATATAATGTCGAATTTAGCCATATTTAGTAGGAGGAAAAATTCAGGTATTTTATTCACGAGGCTTCTTGCATTGAGTAGTTTGCATTTAAGGCCAGTAGTAGTTGGAATTGAGGTAGTTAGGGGCGTGCATGCCTAGTCTTGGGTGATGGTGGATCGGTTGAGGTAGGGTTGTGGTTGAGGGTTAAAGCTGAGTTGCGGGTTGTGTGGCTTACTTTTGATACATTCAGCATGGTAGTCAATGTACAGGTCCTTCTCTCCATTGTCTAGACGTTTTTTGTGTTCAGTGCGGAGTACACGGGAGCGGGCACGTTGCTGTATGGTTAGGTCAGGGCGACAACGGAGGTTCTTATGGTTGGTGTTGGTTTTGGCGAGTGAATTTATAGTGTAAATGAATTTACGTTTGCTTGATTCATTTTTGCAAATGACTCTGCACAAGCGTGGGGCCACAGAGCCGTCTCTGTTTTTGAGCTCTCGGCCAATGCAAGAAATGTCAAGTATTTCATCAGCGGAGATGGTTGATGCTTGATAATCACTGATGATGTTTCGGACAGTTGTGATGTCATCATTGTCATTGATGTCCTCTAGACCAAATAAGATGGCGTTTGGACGTTTCCGTTCACGCTCAACAGCTTCTCTGATGAGGATTGGGATATCAATATTTGTCTGGGTTGTGTTTTTTTGTGGATTGGGTTTTGGATTGGGTTGTGGTTGTTGGGTAGAGATTTGGTTTGTAGCTATTGGATGTTCAGGTTTTAGCGTTGTGTCTTTTTTTTCAAGGTTGGATATTCTTTCTTTTACGGCGTCCAGGGATGCTACTATGGTGTTAAGGGATGTTTCAATGGTATCAACTCTTTCAAACAGATCCAGTTTTGGTTTGCATGATTTGCAGAGATATGAAAACTCATTGGATGATTCCAGGTATTGAATAAATTGCTTGGTTAATCCCAAGCAGTCATGATGAGCGTATTTGTTACACAGAGAACATTTGATGGAGTTTTCATTATCCTTTAGATTTTTGTAGCATTTAAGGCATGTGCAGGAGTCTTGTGGTTCATTGGTGGGGATTATCTTCTCTTTAGGTTGTGGTTTGGCATTGGATTTTTTTTTGGCATGGTAGGTTTGTTAAGATAGTACGTTTATTGAATTAATTAAAGGAACAATTTTGGGTAATCTATATAGCCAATATCACACCAGTCAATCAATTGCAGTAATCTCTCTAGTCAGATTTCTATCTAGACTATCTAGAAATCCATACAGATTTGTATGGATTTCTAGATAGTCTAATTGCCTGTTGGTGTGAAGCTAACTTACATATTGTAGTATCTTCTTGTAAACATAGTACATAATTAATGCAGACTTGATTTGCAGCCCATTTTCTCATTTTGTGCCAATATGCTTCCGATCCTTAAATCCACCGATACGATGTTCACATTCCTCATCTCCGGGAGCTTGAACGAATGCAATGTCATTAAAGTTTATTGTAAGAGAATGTTATGGAGGGTTGCCTATTGTAGAGATGATGTTGTAGCTTAAGTACTGTGAAAGCAGTTTTTCAAGCCATTTCATTTGTATTACCTACTTACCTGACAAGGATGTTAGCTAATTTTATACTTTTTGTAAAGAGATCATAGTAGCTGAGACTGAGTAACTTTTGGGAGTTTTGGTTTTTTTCCAGGTCCCATGGTCTACGGAATCTGTTTCTGTCCTGTGTCTCAGCAGGGAGACCTAGAGACTTTGAAAGTAGCAGGTAAAAGGAGTGTCAGGTTCTGATTGTACTTCAGTAATTTTGCAACTGTGTCACAAGACAGAGGGTCTGTACAAAAAGGAAAACAAAAATACTCTATTTTTATTGGGGGAGCAAGGTAGAGGAATAATGTTTATTTATTTCTTCCATGCCACGTTGCCTGAAAATGATCTTTTTCCACTTGCTTTCAGATTCTAAAAGTCTGACAGAAGCTCAACGGGAAGAAATCTTTGAGAAAATAGATGCTGCTAAGGAATATGTAGGATGGGCCCTACACATCCTCTCCCCCAATTTCATCTCAACTAGTATGCAGAGACGGTGAGTGTGGTAGAGACAAGGCAGTTTCTCTATTAGGTGGATTAAATCTTAGGTTTTAAAAGATACACACATTTCTCTAAAATTATTTCTTTGCCTGGCCTACTCTCCCTAGAATTGAAACACGTGTCCTATGGATCTAATTATAATGTGGTGTCACTATATATAACATATATGCCTGGAGAGTTGGTTGAATTATTACTAACCATCCAAAATGGTTTAGCTGTAATAGAGTATAACGTTTATGTAATTTTTAAAAAAAACCAAATTGTCCAGAGTAAGTTAGACATATTATATATCCATATTTTTAATGTCACCCAAGGTTATAAAACTGTTTCTTTGTTTCATTGATACAATGGCCCATCCTATTTCTAATTATTTGTATTTGTCCAGAATGAAAATCATTAATTTATATTTGTTGTATTTATTGTATGAACATTGCAGCGTCACATCTGATTTTATCCTCACAACAACAATCCATTTAAGTAGACCGTACTTAAAAATGACAGTCCTCATCACCCTGGCATATTAGCAGGTAGAGATTAGAACCTGGGTCCCTCTTATCTTAGTTACAATCCTTAATGACAAGTTGCATTATCCAGCTAATTTCAGTTTCTATCCACCTCTTTTCTGATAAGCTTCATAGTCAGTTGTCCTCATCAGTCAATGTGATTTCCTTTTCCTTACAGGACAAAGTACAACTTGAATGCACTATCCCACGATACAGCCATTGGCCTAATCCAGCATGCACTAGATTCTGGAGTGCAACTTGCAGAGGTGAACTAGTTTAGTGCCCTAGACTGCCAGGAAGTAGCAAGAAATCCTCCTCTCCCCCTTAAATCCTTCATGGGTCTTTTTGTTTTCAGGTTTTTGTAGACACAGTGGGACCAGCAGAGAAATACCAAGAAAAGCTAAAGCAGCAGTTTCCTGAGCTGGAGGTTACAGTGAGGGCCAAGGCAGACTCTCTCTTCCCTACCGTAAGCGCAGCCAGCATTTGTGCCAAGGTAAATGCGAAACTCCTTTGTCTCCAAATCCATGTAGGCTATTGTTATCTGGCAAGATGCGCAGATTGGCCCATCAGCTCAATTACCATCAGGCTTTTCTTAATTTAGGCAATAATTTGTCCATTATTGAAGAAAAAATGCCAGATTATATGGACTTTTCATATGGTACAGGAAGTGTTGTTATCTCTTACAATCTCTAGGTAGCAAGGGACCGGATTGTGAAGAATTGGAAATTCTTGGAAAACCTGGAAGATGCAGAAATGGATTATGGCTCGGGCTATCCCAATGGTAAATTCTAGTTTATTCTTTCAGTTCCATCTCTGTGCATTTTGAGCTGTGTAAAGTGATAGTGATGTTTAGATCAGGTGGCTTTAAAATAAGATTAGACAAGCAGAAAACGTTTGCTTTGTGAAGACACTCGAATTCAGGATGACAGCTGGATGGGCATGCTATTTTTCTGTAATACCTTTCTAGTCATCTAAGGCTCTGCACTCAAAACTGGAGGTGACCTGAATGCCAGTTGTAGGGGCCACCATGTATTGTTTTCATGCCATGGCCTAATAGGGCTTTATGTTCCTGTGCAGGAACACTGAAAAGCAAAGACATTATTTTTCACATTCCTGAGTTCTCTTTTCCCCCAGTCTTACATTTGAATCATCATTATAGTTAAATGATTTTTCCCCTTTGAGATGCCATCATTTATTATTCCATTAGGGTAGATAGTGATGGTGTCAAAACTTCACTGTTGTTAAAACTGATGCCATAGGTTGTATCTGATGCAGTGATGGGGTTTCTAACCCCTACGACTATGGTGAGGTTGTAATGTGGAACTAAACATGTTGCAATTATAGAGCAGAGTGGGAAGAGAAGAGAGTTTATCCTAATGTTTGTTATACACTTTGCCTAATGTCTGCTCCTGTAATGGAAGTAGTGGACTGAAATATATTGTTTGATAAAAGGACTTTGCTGATAATATGCAAAGTCTCTTAGTCATCCCTTCTCTCCCCAGATCCCAAAACTAAAGAATGGCTCGCTCAAAACCTGGACCCAATCTTTGGCTATCCACAGTTTGTACGATTTAGCTGGAGCACAGCTCAGCTCATTCTGGAGAGCAAAGCTGTGCCTGTTCATTGGTAAGTGGAGGAACAAGCTATGAGGTGGACTGATGGATAAAGATTATAATGGAGAGTTAAGGAGAAGTTAAATAACTTACTATTCACTGCTGCTACTATATACTGTGATGTGTCAGGAGTTTCATTCTCATAGTTTAATTCTTCCAGAAGGAAGTACGCTTTCTCAAAGGCAGCAATTGGGTTGGGGAGTTTATTATTTATTAGGTTGTTATCCTGCTTTTATTACTTTGTAAATATGTCAAGGCGGCAAACATACTTAATACTCCTCTCTTCTATTTTCTCCACAACAACCACCCACTGAGATAGTTTGGCTGAGAGAGAGTGACTGGTCCAAAATCACCCAGCCGGCTTTCATGCCTTAAAGTGGGACTAGAACTCACAGTTTCCTAGATTCTAGGCCAGGACCTACCAGCAGACTGGTAGAGAACAG